ATCACTTCCTCATCTCCTCTGTTCCCTTCCCCTACATGACCATTAAGGTCTGCTCCAATCACCATTCTTTCTCCCCTGGGGATACCCTCTATCATCCAATCCAGCTCCTTCCAGAACTTCTCCTTTTCTTCAAACTCACAGCCCACCTGTGGGGCATAACCGCTAACAACATTTATCATCACTCCTTCTATTTCTACCTTTACACAGATCAACCTGTCTGACTCTCGTTTCACCTCTACCACATTTCTTACATATTCTTTCTTTAGGATCACCCCTACTCCTTTTCTCTTCCCATCCGAACCATGATAAAACAGTTTGTAGCCTCCTCCAATGTTTCTAGCCTTGCTGCCCTTCCACCTGGTCTCCTGCACACACAAAATGTCTACTCTTCTTCTCTCCATCACATCAGCTAGTTCTCTACTTTTCCCTGTCATTGTACCTACATTCAGAGTTCTAAACTTCAGATCAACACTTCTATTCTTCATCTTTTCTCTTTTTCTACTAACAAAACACCCTCCTCTTCTCTGTCTTTGACCAACAGTAGCCCAATTTCCATCAGTGCCCTGTAGGTCAACAGCACTGTTGGCGGTCGTTTTGAACTGGGCCCTGACCAATCCGGTATGGAAAACGTTTTACTTTGCATTCTTTGATTTGGCAAAGGTTTTACACCGGATGCCCTTCCTGACGCAACCCTCACCATTTATCCGGGCTTGGGACCGGCACTATAAAACACTGATTCGTGTACCTTAGTGGCTGGTTTATTTTCAAAAATAAAATAATTTCCCAAATAATACCTGCTACTGGCCACCTAACTTAATGGCAGTGCCACCTGATATTCAGTTAAAGATTCTCTCTAAATGGGACCATGCCTTACAAATGTAACTCTAAAGAGCTTTAAAGATGTATAGACTAAAAGTAAAACCTATCACTGATTAATGTAAATTAACCCTATGCTTTACTTGTATCCTGAGTCCTCAGACTGCAACATCCATACATATGGTGTAGTACAGTTTATTTCACCGTTGCATTAAAAAAAAACATTTGTGTTGCATTTAGTGTAATTGTGTTTACACTAAGGGGAGATCAGGGATGTATGTACTTCCAACGTATTGCTGGTATTTCTTTGCAGTAGCTAAACAACAAACTGAGTTCTGTAATACCTTTACTTCACTTTGAGTGTAAAATGATTACTTTTAAATGAGTAATGTTCTTTTTTTTAAATTAATTTTCAATAAGCCAAACAAAAACCTGGTTGATTTTGTTGACTATGGTTGATGTTATGGTCAATGTGCTGTTCAGAGTTAAAAGTAGGGGCATTCTGAATAGGAACCAGACTACAGAAACACATGAAAAGAGAAGATGATAAAAATGGGCATTTATCATGTGGACACCGTATTTAGTAGTATCATACTTACTGGTTGGTGGGAGGTGCAGAAAGAGGGAACACCACCTCTTCTTCCTCATATTCAGGTCCATCCTGCATGTCGCATTCATCCATGGTGCCTCCTGGAGGAGGTGGTGGAGGTGGAGGCAAGGGTGGGAAGACACTGGACCCATCCTGGCCTGTAGCTGTGGGTGAAATTCGGTTGGATGGAGACTCTGAAGTGGGAGAGTGGCGCATGCCTCCCACGGACCCTGAGCTTGTTCCTTGGTAAACTGAATGTCCACCTCCTGCTGCGCTCAGTACTGGTCCAGTCAGGTCTCCACTATCCACCGGGTAGATCATGCTGATGTCGGGGAGTGAGTCCGGGGATGTGTTTGACGGTTGGCGCGGGATTGGTGGTGCTCCTTGTGACAAATCGTTCGCTCGCACTCTGCTCGACTTGAGATGGTAGGGGAAAGGGGCCGTATCCGGGCCTCCTCCGCCTGCCACCCCTGTCCCTGCCGTGACCGAGCTGGGATCCTCACTACTGACCTCCGCAGCCATCATATTCGATAAATAGATAGAGAGGATAAAGTCCACAAGGGAACCTGCCCTTCCCCTCTGGATGGACAAAACTCCTTCAGTGTTTGCGCAAAAACAACACGAAAAGTTTCTCAAAAACGCGTTTAGCTATTCAGCAACCGTTAGCTTTGAAGCTAACTTAGCTCAGTTAGCTGCGTCAGCTTTTACATTCACCGAGTGCAGGAGAGCCACGCTCGTGCTAACGCAGCGGCTAACAGCGTCGAAAACACTTGAGTTTCTCGATTTTTTGCTTGCTATGTCTTCATTGTCTCCTGAGTTAACACAGAAAACTAATCTAGAGTCCGACATTAAAACGAAGGAAACTGAAAATAACCTCAACAGTATTTACGTTTTTGGTGCGGACTTTACCCTTTCGCAGCAGACACCACTTGTCCGGGAGTGTTGTTTTTTTTTTTGTCACTGTTGTGTGTAACCCCGTGTATTTTCCAGTGTTGTTGTTTTCTTTCCTCCCGAGTTTCCAGCCGCCCCGAGTGGTCCAACAAAACAAATAAGTCTTGTAATCCGAATCTTAGAAACACTACAGTATATACACTAGTATGTCTTAAACAGGAGTTTAAAAAAAACCTTGCGCACACAAGCTATGTTCGCCTGACAGGGTTTGTGGGCTAGTGGGTTGCCCACTGCTGTGCGGTTCACTCGGTCTCTCCTCCCTCTCCCACTCACCCCCAGTAGCAGAGCAGAGCAGACGCAGCCAAGTGAACACAGAGCCGCACATTCCCCCTTCAATCCATGACATCTTCGATCATATCACCACTGCTGGAAACGTTTTTGTTTATTGTCCTTCAGTTCAACGAATACAAATAATATATACAGATGACAATAACCATAAGTGTATAGAGCATATTAAGTTACCTTACAAAATAATATAATACAAATTTGAGAAATGTTGTCATTAGTCACTGTAGCAGCCTGTTGCTCACACATGTTACTTCATTAGTTTTCTAAGATTGCACCCTGATTCTACTCAACACCTCAGCAGTGCTGTTGATTACCGTGCCTATAATTACTGCTCTTAACTTGTGCAGTTGTTAGCTAGGGCCTACACCTCCTTTAATCCTACACCTCCTCTAATCCAACCAGTTCAACCAGGGAGCAAGCCAGTCAGGGCTTCTGTAGGAAGCACCCCAGTGCCTACTGACAGTAGGGTGATGCATGCATGATTTATCTGTGAAGGTTCTCAGTCATCCAGGTCATAGGCCATAAGGTGAACCATGAAAAGTCTTTCAGAAATTGAATTCTGCTCCGACGTCTGGGAACGACACAATCTTTAGTTCATAAAAAAGGAGTTGTGTTAAGCTTACAGCAAAAAGTTCGTAGCAAAAAACCTTTTTTATACCTTGGCGTTTTATACAGAACCAGGGTCTTCAGGGCGCCATAAGAACTACACCACACTAATAGGGTAGCAGCTTTTGGTATTTTTTGTATTTATAGGTAGTCATGTGGAATGACTGTTTTTATTTAACTTGAAATCATGGGAGTTAAATGCATGTTACTTACTCCACAGACGACAGACTGTGTTTAAGTATATACTGTGAATTCCATGGCTGATTGTAATTTTCATCTGAGATCGTAATATTTTTCAAGGAGATGCAGCAGTTGGCAAAGGTGTCAAAAGACATGTTTTGTCAGTGGCCATGCAGAAACTCAAGACTGGCTTCTCCATAAATCTAAGTTTGTATGTGGAGTTTACACATTACTTTCTAAAAATAGCCTGCATTTTAAAACATGCAAGTGTAATGTTTATTGTAGCATATTGCTTTGACACTAATTTCATCAAATGCTTAAAATTATATTAACATGACAACATTCAGCTTTATTTATATATAAAACTCCAAAAACTATGTTCACGGCTGGTTTTACACCTAACAGCAAACAGAAAATATCAAAGGTTACACAAAACACAAAAAATTATAATGTAGAAAAAGTATCCGCCCCTCCTTGAACCTTAACGTGTTGGAGGGGTTTGAGTATCCGAATGAACCTAGGAGCTATGTTGTCGGGGGCTTAATGCCCCTGGTAGGGTCTCCCAAGGCAAACAGGTCCTAGGCGACGGATCAGACAAATAGCGGTTCAACCCCCCCCTTTGTGATGAAGAAAAATACAGCAAAGAGGTTCACGTCGCCCGGATTGGCGTCACCGGGGCCCCACTCTGGAGCCAGGCCCGGGGTGGGGGCTCAGGGCCAAGCGCCTGGTGGCCGGGCCCTTGCTCACGGGACCCGGCCGGGCTCAGCCCGAACCAGCGACATGGGCCTGCCTTCCAGTAGGTCCACCACCCGCAGGAAGGCCCACAAGGGGTCGGTGCCTTGTGATTTGGGTGGTGGTTGTGGGCGAGGACCCCAACAGCCTAATCCCTGGACAACTACTCTGGCTATAGGGAAATGGAATGTCACCTTGCTGGGAGGAAAAGAGCCTGAGCTTGTGCGGGAGGTTAAGCGATACCAACTAGATATAGTCGGGCTCACCTCCACGCACAGTCTGGGCTCTGGGACCCAACTCCTTGAGAGAGGCTGGACTCTCTTCTACTCTAGAGTTGCTCGCGGTGAGAGGCGGCGGGCCGGCGGAGGCCTGCTTATAGCTCCCCAGCCCGCCAGTCGTGTGTTGGAGTTCTCCCCACTGAGTGAGAGGGTCACTTCCCTTCACCTTCGGGTCAGTGATAGGTGTCTCACTGTTGTTTCGGCCTACGGGCCAAATAGCAGTGTAGAATACCCGGCCTTCTTGCAGGCACTGGGAGAGGTACTGGAAAGTGCTCCTCTCAGGGATTCCATCGTCCTGTTGGGGGACTTCAATGCTCACGTGGGCAGTGACAGTGATACCTGGAGGGACGGGATCGGGAGGAACGGCCTCCCCGATCTGAATCCGAGTGGAGTTTTGTTTTTGGACTTCTGTGATAGTCACGGTTTGTCCATAACGAACACCATGTTCAAGCATAAGGGTGTCCATCAGTGCACTTGGCACCAGGACACCCTAGGCCGGGGGTCAATGATCGACTTTGTAGTCGTGTCATCTGACATTCGGCTGTATGTATTGGACACTCGGGTGAAGAGAGGGGCTGAGCTGTCAACTGATCACCACCTGGTGGTGAGTTGGCTCCACTTACGGGGGGCGAAGCTGGATAGACCTGGCAGACCCAAACGTGTGGTAAGGGTCTGTTGGGAACGTCTGGCGGAATCCCCGGTGAGGGTGGCCTTCAACTCCCACCTCTGGGAGAGCTTTGACCAGGTCCCGAGGGAGGCTGGAGACAATGAGTCTGAGTGGACCATGTTCTCCACTTCCGTTGTTGACGCAGCTGTCAGAAGCTGCAGTAGATGGCACTGTAGCACCAGAGCTGAAGCAGGAGTCTTTCTGCAGGAGAAACAGAGAAACTCAGAGACCAGTACGTCATCGTTACAGAACATGACAGACTCGTTTTTCCCTGTGATATAAAGCAGCAGAGTGTTGGGAATGAAGGTTGCATGGATAGATGTTTGTATCTCTGGAAACATAACCAGCAGGTTATGAGATATGGGATAGTTTTATGCTAACACAATATGAAACTGGATTACAAATGGACCATAATCAGGGTTGGTCCTTAAGCACAACAGATCTGCAAGAAAAGGTACATGGGCAGCTGCACCAAACAGGAACATGGAGCATTCACAGTCACATACAATGTTGTCATATCCTGGAAACAATGAGAAGTAAAGGACAGAAATGACAAGCTCTTTGTTTGGCTCATAAAGGAAGGAAAGTGAACTACTTGTCATTGTGATACAGCACACCACTTCACACAACCAAATATGACCTCTGCTTTTAACCCATCATCAAAGTGAACAGTGGGCAGCTTTAAGCACCCGGGGAGCAGTGTGTGGGGTGCCATGCTCAGAGCACCTCAGTGGTAACTTGGCAGCTGGTGGCCTCGAACCCGAAGCCTTCCGGTGTCGTGTGGGCATTGCAGGAAGCAGGCAGGACCCAAATGCAGTACTGGTGAGACTCTTTCTGGTGCAGGTAGTTTTATTTACAGAGTCCAAATTAACAAAACACAAAGAACTAACAGGCATGGAATTCTCTTTGGAACACGAGGAAACAGAGTAGGAAACTCACGAACACGAAGATCTAACAC